TAAAGTCCCCAAGACAGACAGGGATGTATTGTCCCTGCAAGTTCCGGAGCCGGTGATAATTGTCCACTTCCGTTTGAAGGCGATGCTGCTTCTCCACAGTCGTTGCTTTCATGATCACCGTGTATCCGCGGGAAAGGAGGGTGGCTTTGATGAGATATCCTGTCCGACCACAAACGTGCAGCTGTTCGAATCCAAGTTCCCGATCTCGGGCCAGTTGACGATGGAGCTGGCGTGTGAACTCCTGCGGTCCGATGGAGTGTCTCCGACCACCGTGGAGTTCCCAGTTGGGGCAATTCTTATCCAGTGGTTCTCGGTTAGCCAAGCCGCGGATGCACGCAATGGTGCAGTATGGTCGCGTAAAATGTCCGTCTTTCAAAAAGTTTTTTTATTGCTCTGCCCGGCGCGTATCCTTTCCCTTCCCCTCGGTTGTTGCCTAGGTCGCTCGGTCGGCTGCGCGACGTTGCTGCGGCAGATGGCGAATGCGATTACTGCTCAGTGCCGCTGCCTTCAATGGACGAATGCTTCGGTGTAGATGCGCCTGGTTGACAACGAGCGCGAGCGCGTGTGTTGTACATTTTCCGAACTCGTTTCCAGTGGGAGGGCCAATAACTAGACGCCTGCGGGTCTTTACGGGAGGCTTCGGAAATCTCGCTCAACACGTCGAATTCGACCTTGCGAGTTGATAGGTTGTCGTATGCCACACCGTGCTATTTTAGAGTCCGAGGTTCGACGGCCAGGGCTTGAAAAGCGAACGCAAGCACCTGATCGATAGCAGTCCAGTGGAGGCGCAATTCACCGTCGGCCTGAAAATCCGCCTGCACATCTTCATTCGGGATACACAATAACTATGGAACAATGGTGGCATCATCCTTTCGAAGGTGGAGGAAAACCAAAGCCTCCCCCTGTGCAGATGTAGGCGTATCGAACGCCACTGTCCTTCATGTATAACAATATCTGAGTGACCATGGCGGCGACGAGGCGAGTTGGCATAAAATCCAAAGGTGTCGCCTTCCTGTTCAATGACATCCCGAGTCAGATCCATCGGTGTATACCCGCCACCCCACCAATTCAGGGATCGTCACTTTGTGCGGCGCTTCGAACTCCACTGCATAAACAGGTATTGCCGTTCATCCGCCACAAGGTGCACGCAGAACTGGTCGTCGCGCGGTTCCACCCTTCTTCTGTCTCTGCGCGGCTCCTCGTCCCCTTCCTCAACCTCATCCAAGCCTCGTGTTCGCCGGTCGTTACGGTGTCCGCGCGTCCTCAAGAATCATTTGCTCCAGGCTGTGCTCCAGCGAAGTTTCCGACGGGTTTGTGCGATCGTAGAAGGTGACTCGGCCTTAGATGCCAAACTCACGTTGAAGGCGTCCATCGTCTCGCAAAGCCTCAATGACCTTTTCGACAAAGTTGTCTACCGTGTCTCGGCCAATATTCCGAGGAGACCCTCTAAATAAAGCGGTCTGTTCTGGATATTAGTAACGACATTATCGATTTGGGTATCAGAAGGGAATAAGGGGCGAGAGGGAAAGGCAGCGGTGCGGTCGAACTTCCCCCAGAATTCCTAATAGTTGGGGGAAGTCAAGCCACGGGACGATGTGCTTGGCGTAGATGATCCCTGGGTCGCGAGGGTTGCGAGGGTCGCAAGGGTCACATCTGCCTCAATTTGGATACAGTAGCTTGGGACAGAGAATTGTGGCAGCGATCAAGAAGGCAAAATAATGTGTTGGGTTGCACTCCGTTCTGCCGCTTCTTGTGCTAGTCTCTTTTCCTCCTTGCGGCGCTCTGCCGCTTTTCGCAGCCTTTCTTGTTCTTCGATTTGACATCACAATTCGGTTATCGTTTCCTCCTCTGTTTGAAACGAGCACTTAGTAGATAATCGAGTATAATTTTAACTCAACAACGTTTGGGGGTGTTGTTTGGCGGGCGCGGGGAACAGAGTGCTGGAGAGAATGCGTGTTTACCAGCTTACTCATCAGTCCATTATTGCCTCAGGCATCAATGCATGTCTGTCTCAGACCCATTCGTCCCCGCAGAATGCGCCGGCTCGATGATACCTAAATATGCTATGTAGTAGTTATAAAGTTCGATCCTTCTTATTTTTGGTAAATGGAATCACCGTAGCGGGACGACTCTTGATTGCGTCACTCTCGATACCCACAATCCGTTTAATATAAGCACTGTGGAGGATGCTTCCGTTGTACGATCTTGCTGAGATGAATTATACAATCAAACACTAGTCAGCGAGAACCTTTTCCAAACACCATTAATTGGCTCACCTCTCTCGTTGACTGCCCGTTTGCGTGACGATGCTACTGGATGGTTGTCTTTGAGGGTTCGACACGACATAGTCATTACCCATTGGATCTCATCGACAAGTGGAGGAAAGTCCATATTTCCCCGTCTATTTTACACCGCGAGTTGCTTTCATGCTGTGGATGCCGTCAAGTATTTGCTATCGCTGTATATTCGACAAACAATTCGTTCCATGTTATCCCTTCGGATTGCGAGGTGCGGCCTACACTTTGTCAGTGGATGACCATTAAAAGGGGACAGACCGGAGACGCCTATGTACCAATTGTTCTCATGATAGAGGCCATTGGTAGTTGGAATTGCGATACAAGATTTGGCCATTTTGTTGGAATCGTATTATCATAAAGACGTCGATGATGGGTGTTCTGGGCGCTGGAGGACACCTTCGCGCATATTTCTCGCCAGCTTGCGCAGAGTGGACGTCAGGTTATATCGTCTGTCAATCGGCTATATCCGCAAGAATTGTCCCTCCTTGTCGGTACCGTGCATCAGAGGTTCAGAATTACCTTTGGCAGTACAGAAATTGTCCTATAGGAGCGGTCAGCGATGTTTTTGGCTTCTCAAGCAAACCACAACCGCACTCCCACTTGGACATCGTGCGAGCAAAACGTATCATCATTTCGTTCCCCTGGCTCACCAGCTTACTTGTGTTCAACGGCCATATCCATAGCATCTGGGTGATTGCCGTGATCATGTCCCAGGGCAGAGCGCACAATGACGAGTCATACAATCAGCCCATATCCCTCTCCAACATGCTTCAAATAATAGCAAGTCAGGGTATCGGGGCCGTGGTTGAGGTGGACGCACGGAAAGGGAGACGCAACCCATCACGCGCGATGGTTAGGAGAAACACTGGTCTACATTAATCCGATATTACTCACCCGCTTCCCGTCAAATGACGGAGCCGAGCTGAAGGCAGCGAAGCAACACCGAATTGGATGTCCCTTTGAAGTCGGCGTCTCTGAATCCCATAAGCCCTCTTGGGAGAAGAAACGAAATATATTCCAGACCTGGATGGTGGAGGATGTATCCTGCCCAACCTTTAAAAACCAAAAATAAAATCCCATAACAACTTGGTCGCTTACCTGTAGTAGCACCTCCTCAACCGCAGCAATTTTTTCTTTCGTGGCAACAAGTCAAAACGAGCACTTGTTGTCATCTGGTGTGTAATGTACGCAGGCTTCCTGCAACTCCCACTTCAGCAGAGTAGTATCAGTAAGTGGACTCGGGGGTACAGTATTATTGAAACACCTTCTGGCCCAACAATGCCCTATCCTCACTGGGCCTGGAGATGTTAACTCGGCCTCAAATCGGGAGGTCAGCTTTCTAACTCCAGTAAGAAGATTAGCGAAGCGTAGAACATGAAAAGTCATATCGAATGGCAATTTTGTATAACACTTTGAGACACAGAATGGTTAGGAGACAATATACTGTAGCACGAAAGCTGGCTGTCCTTGAGCGGCCCACGAAAGTGACTTTATAGACCACGCACTTCGGTGCCAAGCATGCTGCTCTTTACCTGATTAGGAACACTATACTAGCCGGACAATTTTACAGATATCAATGTTCCGCAACTTCTCATGGCACATACCCGTTCCAAAGAAGATGGTTCAATGGAATACCTGAAATGCCCACCCCGCGAAGGTTTTCACCACTTTTCCACCGGCTCCACCTGCCCTTTCCCTTGGTCTGCAGGACATCCAGATCCCCGGTCCCGGGTCTTGATAGACCGCGATCCGGCATCTCAAAAGGCTTCCACCACATTCTGAATGAGAAACAGATGGGCGTCTACGCGTCCGACTAACCATGAGGCCATATGATGATGTTGGTCAATGAAAAAGCAGAATGAAACCCGTCAAAACAAGTGGGCAGTTTATCCCACAACTTGACCGTTCGCGTACCAGCGAGGGAAACCGTGGTTTCAGTCGCACACAGCCTTAGCTGGTCATTTTCGGAAACCCGTACTTCGTTTGAATCATAAAACTACCTTTTCCTCACCCAGTTGAATCTACAAATCATCCGACTGAACGTTATGGCTTTGCCGAGTCACTTGAGATGAGGAGAGTTTGGGAGGGTGAGTATTGCCTCCATGGAAAACCCGCGCATCAATCCCGTTGATATAGCCGAGGTCAACATTGGACGGTGATTCCGAGCACGAAGGCTTCCAACGAGAGCCTTCCTCAAACGCCCGGCCATCGAGCTGAGCTAACCTAATTTTGGTACTGTAGCAGGTCATGGCAGAGAACCACGGTCGGTTATGACTGGTCTCGCGTCATGTGGTCCAAAATTCATCCATCATCAACAGTCAATGGAACATCCTCTATTCTGACCGAGCCAGCTATGCATGAACTTCATTGTCTGGAGCAATAAACAACCTTGATTAGAAGCAACGCAGGTCATCTGTTTATAAGTTGGTGACATAGGTGCTGTAATAGCACGGACTACCATAGCTAAAAGCAGCATGACTACTCATAATGATATGTGATGAAACTCAGGAAATGCAGGGTCGGGCAATTCCATTGCTGCGAGCACAACCGCCTGGCCCTCTAGATAGCAGTATCCACCAAGACAAACACAGCGAAAAATTTCTCTGTTCTTCAACGGACAGATTCTGAATGTCTGAGTTATTCCATCTCGATACACGGTATCAGCCTGTATGTTGCCACCGTTACCCTCTGTTTATCATGACTGCTGGTTCTGGTCGACCAGATTGCATGGAGACGTTCCGCGGTTTCCCACCTCAAGCCGGAACATCGACCCTTTCGTTTTGGCCTTATCCATCCGTAGAGTAATCCAGAATGGCGTGTCTAATTCTTTACCTCCATGCCAAGGGCAGTATCTCCAGAACCACAAACAGCGCAATCATACAAGACCTGTGTCAACGCCTCAGAACGGGGAATATGCGAGAATCAAATAAGAAAAACCCACTACGGGGCTTATACCCCTGAATAGCGAGCAAGAAAACCTCAGCGGTAGAGCTGGAACTAAGAAAGCTCCAACAAACCTTATTTGAGCTGCCGGTCACCGTTGCCGAGGAATTCCTACTCATTAGACCCGGGTCAGTGAGCCAGGGAAATCACCCAACCAACACAATGCCATCTCATTCGTCCACAGTAAAGGCCGCAGATGAAGTTGCATTCTTGTCGAGGGTCGCTCTCTTCTTTATTCTGAGGGCAAAGAGTGGGCCCTATCAAATAGCCCGATACAGGGTAATGAAATTCAAGGCTTAGTGGTACTCGGTGATCCGAATCTGTTTCATTGAGTTTCAATTCTTTGTTTCAAACAGTCTAGAAGATCAGAAGCTCCCCAAGGGTTTTTGAAACATTTGACATTCTCGCACACGATACGGGATATGACGTCATGGGCAACAAATAGCGGTTGGGTACAGGCAGAGGTGCTGTAGAAACTGGAATGTCTGACAAAAGAAGGAACAGACAATCATATTACTCTGTTGGACCATGTTTGCCCGACTGTTTCCAAGTGGCAAGGCCCACTTGCGCAGACATGCAACCCGTTTTCCAAGTATTTCGGTGTACTTGAGACGCCTACAGTATTGACCTGCGGCGCGGTCCCAGCAGTCGCGCACATCTTCACACTGCCATGTCCACGCCGATCATTTCATTTCCCTAGTCGGCCCCGTCTTTGATTGAGGACCTGACGTCTTGGGGCTGATACTCTGCGAAGGCATGGTCATTTCGGGAGGTAGAGTCGGGGTTTGCTCTTCGTATATGGTCATCATGTGCCCCTGGGCATTTAGTAGGAGGGAGCAAGCGCACAGATGGCCAGATACCCCACCCGGCACTTAACGACTCTCGAAGTTCTTCTGCACCACATGATGGTCGTTGACTTGAACCTGGCGAGGCTGGATGCTAGTGCTGCACCGTTGGTCTTGCCGGGCGACCGGAGCGCTTGGAGATATAAGGC